ATGCTTTAGTTTGAAATAGGCATCTTGGGGTGGAAGTTTCAACTCCAATACTAAACGATCAATCTAAGCAGCATAATAATTTAAAAAGGTTTATAAACTAACACGAGCACAATAACTGCAAATTACCTTATTAATGCATACTGTAATAGCCATTTTTTCCTGTACCGCATGCTTGAGTAAACGTTCCGTATTTAACATTACACCTTCCGCTGCATCTACAAACAATACAACCCCATCACACATACGCATGGCTGCTGTCACTTCATCAGAGAAATTCACATGACCAGGCGTATCGAAAACATTCATTAAAAAGCTTTTTTGTTTGACGTCCTGTAGAACTAACGTAACCGGTGTTGCTTTGATACTGCAACCTCGCTCTTGCTCAGTGAAGAGGGTATCCGTATATCGTAGTGTGCGCTCCTCTGCTTGCTCAAATTGCGGGTGTGTCTGACGTATCAAACAGTCTACAAATGTGGTTTTGCCATGATGCAAATGACCGACTAGTGCCACGTTACGTATAAGGGGTGGTGTATCCATTAGATCTGCCATAAATTCCATATCGTAGGTGGTTTCTGGAAGCTCTTGCTCCTTTATTTGAAATTTGAGCTTTTTAATAGGTTCAATAAGTGGCTTATCCAGCGGTTGTGCATCTTCCTCTTGCACAATGGTTTCCACGTCAGGTCCGTACACTTCTATCGCAGTGGGGTAGTAACGTTTATCTTCGTGCAGAACAACGGCAGTTACTTCCTTATCTTCGTCGTCTTGGTGTTCTTCCTCTTCATCCATGGCGTCCTCCTAATAATCAGTTACTATTAAAATAATGGGATTTTCTTTGAATCGCAAGTCACTTACATCTTGGTCATCCGGCGCGTCTTGCTGTCCGTAAATACTTTGGTCGTCATCTTCATCGCTATCCAGTTCCGGTCCAATATAGTTACCAAATTCATCATATAAATCAGAATCCATTTTTTATTTCGGGTACCAAAAGTCTGCACAAAACGTTTATGAATAATTTCATATATTTATTTTATTTTAGCACTTATTAGTTACAAAGTGATTAACAAATTTCACGCAAACCATACAATTATCCATAATAAAAATATCACGATTTCCGCGTTTCACAAATGTCAAATAAGAATGATCGGCTAACCGCAGGGTTGTATTGGATAAGCAAGAAATACATGCATAATCCATAGGTTAAAGAATAGCACTTCACCTTTTCTGTAATTTCGAAATAAATCTGGCTGAGTTCCAATTGTAACTTAAGTTACATTAACGCAAAGCCTCTTTTATTACTGAACTATAACTGATGTAAAAGTCCATATGCGAAACCACGTTCAAATGCCGAATTGGAACTTAGTTGGGCAAATTGGACATTTCCATCAATTATAGTTTACAAATAAAAGAGGCTGATGCTTTGCATTAATGCAACTTGGAACTCAGCCTCTATTTGAAAGGGCTAAAATAGGAAATTAGCTAATTATTCCAGGGAATTTTTATAGCATAAAAACGTGATCACGGTGGCACAGAGAAGAAACATAACTTTTCCTTGAGATTTAAGAATAACAAGCACAACAAATTTGACGGCTAATAATCTGAGATTTACTTGTGTAAACGGGGTGATTAAAAAACGAGCTTTGATTGAGATAATAGATGCGTTCGTTTAAAATCTCCAACAGAAACCAACCAACTGCCAAATTCCGGCGAAATGTCATCTGTTCGCTCACAAGAGAGAAATATCCAAAATAGTACGCGAACAGAAAATTTGCAGAAACTTGCAAGTTAGACGAACAGCTGATATAATTTTTGTTTACATACAAAAGTGTAAAATTTAAAACGTACGAAAAGTCATCGCAAAGTGTTATACTGACACAGTTTATTGATTAAACAAATAACTACTTATTTCTTACAAGTTTAATTAGTCGCATTTTGTAATTTTTATCTTCCAAACCATCAAATTAAATTTTGTGATTTGCGTAAATGCCAACCAGCTGCTTTTGATCAGCTGTTTCCCTGTTGGCAAATTGCTGTTGGCAAAAATTTTTCCAACAGAAACTAACAGCTTCCCCTAAAATGAAATGTCACTTTGCTCTCTCAATTTCCCCTACTTTGCAAGGTTTTTGCGTACGCGAACGCAAAAACCTGTAAGTTTTGGTTAAACATGAACAATTAACAGCTACGCGAACGAACCTAATATTGATATGTGAACATAGTTTAAGTGTGGTTTGGCGTGAATTTCATATCAATTACTAAAATATTCGAACACAAACCACTTCTTCATAATCCTGTGATTTTTTGCGATTTTGTCTTGCCTCTTTTTCTCAAATTAACCAAGACGTGACCGAATTGTCCAATTTACTGTTAAATTCACTGTCTTCCAAAAATCAAAGACAGTTACGAAGACAAAGAGAGAAGTGTGAAAACATTAGTAAAAAGTGTGCATATATTGCTATTGTTTTCGCAAAATTGTCCTATATCAACCATCCCCCCCCCCCCCCACCCCCAAGTTATAGCCCAGTTATGCATGCTTGTACTGCTGTACCATTTTTACGTAAAAATCAAAACCAAACAGAATTCTACACGTTAAGTGCTATGCGTTGGGCAACCGCTTATATACAAAGCCCATTTAACAGATTCGTATGTGACAACTCTCATGCAAAGCTAAGTATGCATAACTGTGAAGGCTCCGTTATGCATACTTGGCATGGCTTGAGAGCTGTCACATAAGAAATCTGTTAAATGAGCCTCGCGTGTAATCGGTTATCGAACGCACAGCACTACATACGTAGAAGTCTGTTGGTTTTTGATTTCTACGTAAAAATGGTATAGCAGTGCATGCAATGCCAAGTATGCATAACAGAGCCTTAATATTAGTTCTGTGGAAGTTTCATACACGTGTACTTAGGCATGAAATATCGGCGATAGTATCGATACTCAGGACCATCGATAGTTTGCCACCACTAATATTAACTTGAACAGGGTAGGGATGGGCACCGTTTTCAAAAAATCGGGTTTTTGATTAATCACGGTTTTTCATTCAGGTTTTAAACCGTTTAAAAAAACTGGATTAAAAACCTGATCTTTTCGGTTTACAGAAAAAAACCGAATTATAAAAACACTGCAAAAATCAAAAAAAAAGTCGATATCGAATTAATCTTAATTTTCACTCCGCCTATATGTATATTTTCTTCTTTAAAATTTACTGACTGCTGTGCAACGCAAATCAATTAAAACAATATTTTTGCTTTATTTTGTATAACAACTTCATTTCCAAAAAATAAGAAATATAATACAGTGTTTGGCATATTTAAGCAAAAACAAACTTCATTTCAGAGATCTTTTATAAACGGATGCAATTATGTACACGTGTACATGTACGCATTTTAAATATACTAAATCACTGTAATCTTTCAAAAACCTTTCGATTACTTTAAATATTCCAAAATTCGTCGTTAAGTGATCCTAAAAATACGAGGTTATTGGCATGATTGGGAGTAAGGCGGCTTCTCTTGTCCGAGCATACATTATTTAAGGTGGACACAACCCTTTCAGATGCTACTGAAGCGGCGCAAACAGTCAAGTATTTCATTGCGATTGGATAAATCGTAGGAAATACACTTCGGTTACTAGCCCAGTACTTAATAGAGTCCTGATAACGAGGTGAAATTGGCTGACTTAAATAAAATTTTAGTTCCATTTTTGTACTTCTGGGTCACTGCTTTTATTATTGCTGTTGTCCCATCCGGGGTGATTGCGTTGAAGGTGACCTTTTAAATTCGATGTGCCACCTCCCAATTTCACCAACACGCCGCAAAATTTACAAATTGCTTCTTTGCTAGTTTTTTCTGTGAAATGTAACCACAAAGAACTTCTCTTATTTGTAGGCGCCATACTTGCAATAGTTTTGAATGGCGTTTTGTTCTCAGTGAACAGTAAACTACAATATTCACAATCGACTTCACAATCGATTATGCTTAGCTACCAGATCAGCAAAAAATTGAGTAGTTAATTTGGAGTTTTTGGTACGCCGTAAAATTTTATTCTCATCTCGAAGACTTACAAAATAATTATCCATCGCTGGGAAACGTAAAAACCGAATTTTCGGTTTTCGGTTTTAGAGAAAAAAAACGATTAACACCTAAATTAAAAAAAAGACTGAAAAAGATCATTAACCAAATTCAAAAAAACCGGTTTTCGGAAAAACCGATCTTATTTGAACATCCCTAGAACAGGGATGTTGCGAATATTTGCATACGCATTCATGATGCGAATGATTCGCATTATTTTACACATTAGAACGTTTTGCGAATGCGAATGTGTAAACGAGCATAGAGTCCACTCTACTATTATTGAAATGGCTCTAAGTCTGTCTAACCAGGGTGCGGAAAACAACCGGTTTTTTGTTTCAGGCGCTAAACGGTTAAGTAGTATATGAAGCAACATTGATGGGCCTTCAACAAGTACTCCTAAAATTCTAACAAGCAACCTAGAAATAATTTTAGATTCCTCCAGCGAAAGCTTGGATGTAGAATCTGGACATAAAAAATTTGAAATTAAAGCTCAATTGAAGGCCTATCTTAAAGAAAAACGAGCTCATCGCGGTGGAAAACTAAACTTAGTACAAGTTGACAGATCTGCCCCGCAAATATTTGAGCGCTCCACCTGCCAGCGTTCCAAGTGAGCAATTGTTCAGTGCATCCGGCCTTATGTACGAGCCTCGTAAGAAATTGCCTCATGGGAGAAAAGGCAGCAAAATAAATTTTTTGAACTTTGACTAGATTAAAACACTGTATAGATTTTTTATTAATGTTATTCCTAACATTCGCATTCACATATTCATATTCCGAAAATTCGCGTTCGCGTTCGCAAATATTAAAAATATGACATTCGAAACATCCCTAGATTGAACATATTTTCAGAAGTTTGGAGTAACTTTACATAGCCACTAGTTAACGCTAAATTATGGCAATTATATAATAAAACTTAAATGTCACTACACATCTATTTTTTTCGATAATCCTGTATTTGCATAATTTTCATGTAAACTTGAATGCCGCGCAAACCTCGTAAATGAACCGGTTTAAAATACAAAAGTAAGTTTACGAGGTTTACTTGCTTACGAGACGTATTCGCATTTAGATGAATACTCCTATTATAAAAAATAAATAGAAATTTAAATTAGTTTACATTGCGTCAGTGCTGCACAGCATCTGATGACTTGTAGGCATTAGCACCTGAGTAATTCTCTATAAGTAGTGATTTATAACGCCGCAATTGTACGACAAAGCCTTCCTCACGCTCACTAACGTCGAGCACAACAACACGAGACACCACCAGATGGGTTGGATTCGCTTGACTGAAACCACGTACTACGTCAATCTCATCTCCCACATTAAGCTGAAAATGAAATCTATTTTAGAAGGAAGCATAAAGCATAAGTATATTTTAAGTCATACTTGTACACTTTTCTTGTTCAGTTTTTTGCCATTAACACGTACTTTACTTTCATAGAAAATAGCCTCTACTTTGCTGTAAATATACATAGTACATTGAAAACGCCCAATTAGTATAATGAATAACTTACTTCCTAGCCAATCCTAATCCAGCTTTAATTACCAAATCCGCTCTCAATGAATTGACACTTGTCTTAAGCACTTTGGAATCTCTTTCATCTTTAAATTCCACTCCACTCTCATCGTCACTATCACTTTCATCGTCCTGTTGCCTAGATTTTTTGCTATGCTTCTGCAACATTTGCCCTGTATGTATTTGAAGAATAGTGTGGGGCAAGTGATTATACCATGTTTTAGGCGCGGTATCTGCATTTTTTCGACAAACCAAGACTGCCGGCCGCACCGCATTATTTTGAGTAAAACTAATTATTCTATTAAATGTTTTTACATTTCTTAACTTTATCATTTTTGATATCGAATACGTTCTGCCTAAATGAGATACTATAGAAAATTGTTATGAAAAACTATAGTCCAACATAACCTTAAAATAAACAGCTGTTGAACAGGGCTGCCGTTTTTACAGCGTTGTAGGGAACACGAAATAAAGCCAAAATGTTTAATTCTTCTTTTGTTTATTCTTTTTTTGGCGCTTCTTTTTCGGTTTTTTGTTTGGATTCGCTTGTATTTTGTGTACCGTTAAAGGCTTATACATTTCTGGAAGAAAGTCGTCGGAATCGCTCGAGGTCAAATCATTACTTTCATCATTGCGGTTTGGTGTACCTATAACGTGTTTGCTTTTCACTTCATGTTCGGACGTAGCTGGTTTTTTGGTTTTCTCTGCAACTTTTCGTAAAACATCTTCCAATTTCTGTTCATCCTCTGCCAAGTTTACTTTCTCAACGTCCATAACATCCGAAAAGGATATAAAATCTCCTCCCCATTGCTTATTTGTATTTTCTACCGTGATCATCTCTGTCGCATTAGGAAGTGCTTTGCATTCAAGTTTAGTAGCTGTTTTCCTTATCAGTTTAATTCGTTTCGGGATTGATCTTGCTATCTTTGTATTCAGGCGCTTTGTGCGGGATTCAATCCAATGAATAAGTGTATCTAGCTTACTCACACGCATTTCCTCCAATGTAGGTAAAACTAAGGCAAGCGCACGAATACCAAAAACGTCTTTGGTAAATTCCTCTAATTGGCTTTGTACATAAACAGGCACTGTGGCATCTTTAGCTTCGACATTCCGCGCTATTAGTCTCACCAAAAATCGAGGTTGAATGGTCAAAGACAACAAAACACAAGAACATTTCGAGTTATTGATAGCACGCAAACTACTCTCCAATCCCAATCGAATATGCGCCGAAGTAGCGAACTGTTGTGGCCTTTGATTGCTGTTGCTGATGGCATCGCTCAGTAACTGTTGGAGCTGCTGCAATTCTTCATCATCCAATGCTGGACTGAAAGTGTTATATAGTAAATCTTATTACAGAAAATATATTGATACCTACCATTTATCCTTGTTTGGATTAGCCAAGATTGTTTTCAATTTCGGTAAACCCTTCCGTTTTCCCTTTGTTTCCTTCGGTTTATTGTTGTTACTCATGATAAACAAATGGAAAAATCTAAAGACACCGAAAAATGCGATCTCCACGTTTTTGATTAGAGATCAGCTGATCATTAACAGGCTTACACTTTTTTTCGCTGAAGAATATGAAAAGAAGAAATTTGGTATCGATAAGTATTGATAACTTTCTAAAAAATTCAGTGAATAATCGATTGTACGCAGAGATCTGTATTAACCTTATATAAAGTTCGTTCTATAACGGCCATGCCAGATATAACTTCTGCTTCGCGTTTCACGAGTATAGTGTAAAAATTTTCCCTAGGCGCACATTGCGTCTAATGAATATGAAAGGTAATTACCGGGTAAAAATTAAAATAACTGACATTGCATAACTTCGATGAAAACTATTTTACTTTGAGGCTGGGGTAAAGCTTTATTTTATAATGTCAGTAATGGATTCATTGTTTTATACTTATATAAATCCAGTATATGTTTTACAGTTTTTTTCTATAAAAATAAATATTAATTTAAAATAGAATAAAAAATTAAAATCTATAATTAATCTAAGGTAGGCATAACGTCAGTGTCGTAAGTAAATGTCATAGGCTTCATTTGGGTATCCTCAACCGTAATACTATTTGTATCTGCAAAGTCGTCTGATCTTTCAGCTTCTATTGTTGAAGTTTCTATGATTTTAGCCTCTTCGACACTATTATCGACGACCAGTTCATAAGGTAAGGTGTTTTCAATATTATAGTTTAGGCTGGTAACAGACCGATCTTCCGATGAATCCGTTGTACTACTTTCGGTACTAAACTCCGTTACCGTTAGTGTTGTTAGATTACTAAGATTGAACTCAGTAGCGTCTGAACCCATTGTAGTCGTTTCTCCACTGTTACAACAAACGACAGTAGATTGCAAATTATCTGACTGAGTAGTTTCATCATGAACAGAAGCTGTACTTGTAGCCCCTTCGATGGCTTCTTCTCTTAAAGTATTATCCATAGAAGTTTCCAAAATTGCTTCAGTAGTGGTTGTTATTGCAGTCCATAAGTTAACTGTGCTTTCAGTGGATGTTGTGGAAATCTCAATTAGCTCAGAGAACGTGGTTGGCTCAATGGCAATAGTTGTATCCAGCGGTAAACTTGTGATTGGACTTTGCATGGTAGACACGCGATTAGTTGAAGTTTCCTCTTGTTCCTCTTGTGGGGTAGGTGTAGTGGACCCATGCTGAGACGTAGGAATACCTCGGGTTATAGTGGACTCGTTTTCGATTTTAGTATGACCTTGCGCATTAAACTCTCCTTCTGTGGTCCAAGTTGAATAAATTGCCGTGCCGGCAAATGAAGTAGGAGTGACGGATACGCGTTCAAGCGTTAGTGGATAATCCGAGATATACTCACTTTTAGTTGTAATCTCTGCCTGGGTAGTAGATATACTAGGGTCATCTTCGATTGTTAAAACATTTTGGCTTAAAGTCTCAACCTGCGTGGTTGAAGAAGTGGACTCATTTTGAATTGTTGATAAAACTTCAGTTGTAGTTTCCTCAAGCGTAGTTGATGTGGCGAACTTATTTTGAATTGTTGATAAAACTTCAGTTGTGGTTTCCTCAAGCGTAGTGGATCTGGCGAACTCATTTTGAATTGTTGATATCACCTCAGTTGTAATGTCTTCCACTGTGTTCATTATGTTGGACTTATTTTCAATTATTGAAGTTGAATCAATTTCTGTGGTGACAAATGGTGTAGAAGTGACGGAAACGGTATATGTCGATACAGAATACTGAGTAGGAGATTCACTCTGGGCACTTGTGGCGAGTTCCGAAAACTTTTGAGTTGTCGTTGTAATTGACTCAGTCGATAGCGTCGTCTCTGAATATTGGTTGGGTAATTCTGCAGCAATAGGAACAGTTTCCACCAGCACCGAATCCCTGGAGTCAATCGTCGAACTTTCGGTAACTTGTGTTACTTGCGTCACTACAGAATTTATTTCGAATTTTTTAGTAGTGTTTGTATTTACTACATTTACAAATGCTACGTCAGGTTTCACTGTTGTTGCATACTTTTTCCTAGAGGGCACATATGGAGCATATTTTTTTAGCACCGGCGGCTTATGGTTTCGTATCCTTTGTTTTGCCAACGCTACGAAATAGTCACGTGCCCTTGGCACTACGTTTTTGGATTCCCATGATTTGAGTAAGGGGCAGTTCAATATCATACCTAAGGATATACTATAATATGATGACTTATTTCGTGGACCTGCGTGAAATTTAACATAGTCTTTTATATCTGTTGCGCGGCAAGCTGTTCCCGAAATTGACACGTATACTAAAACGAAGATCACTTCAAACCTCATTGCAATGCAATGTTTAAAATCGCACTGAGTCGGCGAAAAATTGCAATCCCGGGGAGGAGGTAGGGATAATTAAGATGTGAGAGATTTTTACACTACTATCCAGGTAGCTGCTGGGAAATTATGGCGCTCTCAGACCATTGAGGCATTAGATAGTACCTGTGCGAAGGGCATGTACGTAAATAGTATGCACAACACTCATGGTCATTAGGGTGCTTCATTTTTTGGCGATATTTTTTTCTCTTTGATACCTGAAAATCAGATACTTTATAGAAAAAAAATTATGCCGTTCGAATTTTCGGGTTTAAAAAATTTTGTTGGGGAAACTGAGTGTACAATTGTAGTAGGGCACGAAATTTGCTACAAAAAAGTCCCAATAGTTTTTGAGTTACAGAGCTGGAAAGATAAATGTTAATACAAATTTACATCAAATCTCTTTTAAGTCTAAATTATTATTCTTACATACGAAATCGGTTATAATAAATTGTAAGAACAACCTTTAAATTCAGTAAATAAATACATATAAATTTTGATAATGAGCCGTGTGAATAAAAACTAATAGCGTTTTCTTTTCTCGAAAAAATGTTGCATTTATTCTGCCCTGCCGCATGCATATTGCGTGCTAATTTTTTTTTCGAGAAAAGAAAACGCCATAAGCAATTGCATTTTCTTAAAACTAAATACCTTTAACATAATTTTTTTTTAATAAATCGCGTAAAAGGTCTGGAATTTAAAACAAGTAATTTTTAGCAAAAAAAGAACGACTTCAACTCTCATATATAAAAAAAATATATATATATATATGTCTCATGATCCACTGATAGGATCTTAACCAGATTAGTACGGGACCACCTCTGATACACTGCCTTTCCGATGTAAAAAGAATTATCGAAATCGGTTGACGTGGTCCAAAGTAATGCGGTAACATACATAAAAAAAATAATAAAAAAAATATAAAAATATTCCGACGAACTGATAACCTCCCCCTTTTTTTGAAGTCGGTTAAAAAGGTACTTTTTTCATTTCTGAGTTGGTGGTGGTAACATTAATGTTTTCTTAATAGCATCCGGAATTGCTTCCTGCTTCAAAAACCGTTGGTCGGACGGCATTTGCTCAGAGGAACTTTTTTGTGGCAAATTTTATGGTCTAAAATTTTTTTTTATTACTGAAAAAATCGAATTGAGACGAAAAAAAAATTTCCCGCCTTATTTATATGGGAAATCGGTTTTTTGAAGGAGAAAAAAATATTGCCTAAAAATTTAACACCCTTATGTATATACGTACATACTTATGGATATATCTATGAATATTTAAATATATGTGCGTATAAGCAGGTATATAATTCGTCCACAATATTCAGTGTAGCTATGTTTTGTGCATATGTTTGCAGAAAAATAAATGCGTGCATGTATACATACCTACATATGTACAAATGCAGTCAATATATTTACTATAGTGAGGTAATGATATATGTATGTACGAACATGTATTAAATGGAACAGGTAAGCTTATTTTATTTAGCCATGTACATACATACCTATGCACGTTTTACATACCTATATACATATCTGTGTTCGTATGGAAAAGTAGCTTATGTCGATACTGGCTTCTTGTAATAATTC